TGCCAAGTGAAACATGAGGCGGCCTGTGTGCAGCACATTCAGTTGTAGAATATCATACAGGAGAGATTCAGTTGAGTCTCTCGTGAAACCCAAATTGATTTGCAAATGAGTGTATTTCTTGAACCCAGCTTGTCGTTGTGCGTTGTTCTTGTGTTAGAGAGTGGATGATTCGCGAAGGACGCGGGTGAGTCCCAGATGATGGCGTTTTCCCCATCAGGATGCTCATTTTCGTTCGCTTCAGTGACTTTGGAAGGGGTAGGCATCGCCCTATTCTAAGTTTTGTGCAGGGGTTTTGCAATAGGCCATCACTCCTTTCATTTCGTTTCACCGATTGCCGGAGTGATGACGATGACGATGATGTTGATGATGATGGTGCTGGTCAAAGCGGCGAGAGCTTCCAGCCTAACTGATTTTATTCAGGTAAATCTTATTTAGAAATTCATACAGTGACAGTGGATGATGCCTTTTTGCAGGTTACCATTCTGATACCAACCGAGTAGAGAAATTCAAGTGCATTTGAACATGTCACCTAATAGCCAATCAACATATATGCTCAGACACAAAACAGATGCTCATTTTGTAATGCTGGTATGTGGTGCAGTCCTGTAAAAGAACATCGAAACAAGTGCACATTCCAACCAGGTATTCCTGTCAACAGATGTCTCCATGACCCTGTGATGTACTGAAGGTTTGCATTTGTCAGTACATTGATCCATTCATTTCCAGCCGACATGAAGTCAGCGCGCAAGCCTCGGTCTGATTTGCATTGTGGGAGAGATGGCTCAAAGGTAGGTGCGCGAATTTACTGACCGGAAGGCTGTGGTTCGAATCCGACCTCTGCCTCTCGACTCGCCCTGTCTAGGGACAGACAACCTCGCAGTTTCTCAGCTCTCGTGCTTCCTCCTGGTGGCATGGCAGCTAGGCAGTACAGCTGAACGATTTTACGATGATCTGTCTGCCTCTCGACTTGCCCTGTCTAGGCCTGGACAACCTCGCAGTTTCTCAGCTCTCGTGCTTCCTCCTGGTGGCATGGCAGCTAGGCAGTACAGCTGAACGATTTTACGATCTTTGATCTGTCTTCTCAAGGCGAGATTTCGTCCACTTTTGTACTGATTGTGGAGTGCTTGTGATGGGTGTTAAATTCTCAGTCGGACCGTCTGAACAGTAAAGCATTGTGACTTTCCTGTATGGATTACGTAGACAGGTTGACTACTATTTCCACCACGGGACCACAGCGATGCTCGCAGTGCTCCACTGAAGGGCTCGATAGCGATGGTTACCAGGTCTCGTAAGAGAGCGGAATAGTGAAGTTTCAAGCTATCGGACTTCAACTCAGGGGCTTCCATACCAGCGTGGGACCCAGGTGTTGACTGCTCATGGCATCAGCTTGTACCATATCGTAGATCAGTTGATGGACACTGTCTTTTTCGGTAAACGTACTGCGATCTCAGTACCTTCTCGCAGTTAGTTCAGATGGATGATTTTGAAAAACCAAAGCCACAATTTTGTTCAGGAGCAAGAAGCGCTCAACCTGCAGATTGTATCCACTTACACACGCCTTCCTTCAGGCTGCCTCGCTTGAATTAAGGACAGAAACACGCGCTTTGACCCTTCCGAAGGATAAACCCTTGTTTATGTCCAACTTAGTTTCTCTGTCACTGCGCCTCGTCATCTGTGGCACGTGAAACTTAGGGCACAATCAAGTGTTGACCTGAAAAAAGTTCCAAGAGCAGTCCAGCCTGATGACTCGAAGTTATTGTGAAAACGAACGAGTGTATTTGTCGCAATCAGTCCAATTTGGGTTCAAGTAGAACATGAAGTTGACGGGACCTGGGGAACTGCGCCTACCTGATGAGTCCCAAGAAGGACGAAACCGGTGGTGGGCTGTCGAAGAGTTTTCAGCAACCTTATGAGTAGTTTCCTTTGTGAGAACAACACTTACTGCTTCGGGACTTCCTTCTAACAAGGCATCAGATGGATCGTTTGAGTGGGCTTAACTATCTCTCTTTGGTGTATAAACGGCATCCAAAATAGAGTGGTAAGCTAAGTTCATCTATTGGAGTAGCTGTTGTCAAGAGATTTTCAAAACCAAATTTGGGCAGACGAAGATAGCCAGTCCGAAGACTTGTAACTTTACCCTGGTGAAAGTTTCAAAGTCAGATGGATTGCTTGGTTTCTGTTTGTGCTTACTAGACAATGGTTGAACTTGGCTGGCTGGATCGTAACCTTTTAAATATCTTACGCTCGCATCACAATCGGTCGCATATCCTTCCAATGGATATGACCCAGTGTTTCTGTCGGTTTTAGTCATATTGATGGCGCGATGGCCCAAGTGGTTAGAGCGCGAGTTACTGACCGGGAAGGTCCGTGGTTCGAACCCGACCTCTCCCTCTCGGCTTCCCCTGTCTAGGCTTGGGGAACCTGGCAGTATCCCAGCCCTCGTGTTTCCTTCTGACGGCATGGCAGCTAGGCACCGAAAGGGCGCTACAGCTGAACGATTTCTTTCCTTCTTTCATGTTGATTGAGATTTCACAGAGGATTTAGATGGTCATTCGCTCGAGAGGAGTTTTACGAAATGTTTGCTTCACACTGTTCTTCTTTAATGGCTTGCTCGGCATTTTTCATTTTGATCTGGTTCCCGAGAAAATGGTCCGATGTGATCAGAGAAGTTAATGAATGAAAAAGGGATGAATTAAACGGGAACAGCACTAAACGGCGCCTTTTTTTGCACGGAAATGTCTAGTGTACTTTTCCTTCCAGGCATTCTTGAGATGTCATCCTGGTCAGACGAGACTATCTTGAGAATTAGTGCTCTCCTCAAGAAGTTATGGAAAAGCAAAGAATATCATTGGTAAGCCTTCCAACTCCCACAACAGTAAGTGAACAAGACTGACTGACAGTCTGCAGTCAGTCTGACGAACTGATCAGCGCTGCTTAAACGTTCATCGTTTAAAAGAACAAGTCTGCAGGCATAAGGACAAATACGGAAGACCACCGCTTGAAGTGCAGACTCCGCAGTATCCTTTTTACAGCATTAGCTGTTCTGTTTCTGTTCGCGAGTCACCCTCATCAGCTGGAACAACAAACGATGTAATATTGCTGCTCTGCAGGAAACACCCTACCACCGTAATGTTCGAAAAAACAACTGTGGGAAACGCTTCCAAGAGAGCAACTAACGTGTTTGACTCCATAAGACACCATCCCCCATGAATACCTCAGTGAAGCCGATCTGGACGTAATTAGTTCACAGTGCCATTTGGGAACTTAACAGCTCACAACATCAGCGAGGTTTACGTTCATAAACCCTCCAGTCAATACTGACGTGTTACAGTTAGTGCAAGTAAATTCGTCTCCCAAGAAAAAAACAGAAATCTGTTAATGCTAGAACAAACTTGATTAGTCAAGTACTGATAAAAGGCAATCCGCCTGCTGCTTTACGGA